CTTGAGAAACTTGCGGGCCTTCTTAGCATCGGTATTCACTGCGTCGCCCGCAAAAAGGCACATGCGGGTGAAGGTACGGATATACTCGTCCACTGTGGAGCTGCCCTGATGCAAGTGGTAGAACTCATGCTCCATCCTATCCCAAAAGCTCTGGGGAAGGAACCTGCTGCGCACCATCACTTTCATTTGCTCCCAAGTCAGAGCATGAAGCTCCGCCTCTGGCCTCCAGGCCCAGTGGTCAATCCACCAGTCAGAGGCGTCCTCCTTCATCTGATAAGCTGCTAGGGATACCCGCTAACGGTCCGGGAGGGGGAGTACTGCAAAAATCTTATCCAGCTCTTTCATCCACTCAAGCACCGCTGTGGGGTTCTCTGTCCCCGCAAAAGTGGGTGCATTCATCCTCTGAAACTGGACGATAAGCTGAGTGAGGTCCATGGCCAGAGGGGCCCGATGATGACGACGAGGCGGGGAAGGAGTCGGGGATTCCTGACGGTTACGGTTGTTGTTGTGAGTATTCATACTTCTACATTGAATAGGCCGAACAAAGTTTAGCACAAAAACAAACAAAATAATAAATATTTATAGAAGTCTAGAGTTTGCCAATAAACACTAGAGTTCGATTAAATCAAGGTGGATAGGACCTAAGCCCCAAAAATAACAATTACACCACAAGTAGTTTCATTACCACATGTGTTCCATTTACATATCAAGTATTTTCATTAATACTTAAACAAACATACCTTAAGCAGCGCGGAGTGACGGAGACGAGTGGTCATAACACAAGGTCTAAACACATAATCACATATGTGCCAGTCTACAGAAACGCAGACTGGCTCTAATACCAAACTGTAACACCCCACTTTGTTTTTACAGAAATTCCGGACTTTTCTAAAAATCAGAACAAATTTTTCAAAATTCATTTTCGAAATCAGGGGCATTAACCAACACAATTTACTTAGTCCAAGTCTTATCTGGACTTACGGGGATTCATAAACCCGATTCTTCACAAGGTTTTCATTAACCTGATTCACACTTTAACATTATATCCCATATGAACAAAATCAAACACTATGATTATTCAAGGTTCATAAAGAGTTTTCCAAAATATTTTCAAACATCCAAAAACATAGTTCGAAAACGATTTCACATGTCCAAATATTAACAAAAGTTCATGAATATCTTATTATTAAAGCGAAAGCATAAAGAGTACAAAGGAGATTCGGGCCGCGCGCGCGGGCTGGAATCGGGCCTGGCGGCCCGCGCATTTTTGAACAGGCCTGGGAGAGAGAAAAAAAAAAAAAAAAACTGGGCTGCGGGCAGTGGGGTTCGATCTCGCGACCTCTCGCGGGGAAAATGGGCGCCGAAACCACTGGGCTATGTGCGCTGCTTGTTTTTTAATTTGCAAAGTTTAGTAATTGAATCTTTAAAGAAAACAGAGACTGAATTTGCAGAAACAGAGCTCGAGCTGGACACAAAATTCAACCAAATTTGACAACATCATTCCCAACAGCAACAGGGTTTCGAGATTTACCAACAATATCAAATTTTTAGAGTTTTGAAAATTTAGAAAACTGGGTTTGTTCGGAAATACGAAACGTCAAAAACACGGTTTGAAAACAACGAACAAGACGACCCAAAATAAATTATAACGAGGCTACGAAACGACCAAACGAGACACCGAATTCACACAAATTTATCACAGCTGCAACAATACTCGACTTATACAGTAAACGAGAGTTCCGATATTCCACGAATATACGAATTATACGTACGAACACACAAATCAACAAATAAACCGAATAGAATCCGACTTCAAACCAACTTTCGATAAACCGAACACATTATATATATATAACGCGCGATATATGAAAACGATCGTAATAACGAGGGGATTCAAATAAGTTACCCGACTTCGGGAAACTACGAGTTATTAACGGGAAACGGGTCCGACAGCGGGTTGAACAACCGGCTTTGGGCTTGAACCTTCGAACACGGTTTAAAAGTTGTTGGTTCTCGAACGCTTGACTATCTCCGTAGCGAGGTTGTCGATGACAGACGCAGATGCTGAAACACGTTGAGCGGGGCTAACCGGAGGTGACCACCGGAAACAATGGTGGACGGGCGGGAACTCTGCTCGGAGAACCGACGACGGTTGCCTGCTATTTCTGGTGGTCCGATGGCTGCTTTCTGGTCGTAGGGTGGGATCAC